GTTTTGAATGAGATTGTAGTGTTATGTGATCAGCAGCACAAACACCATGTAGAGTGTAGCTCCAGTTCAGTGAGTCAGGAGGTGAAGCCTAGCAGACACTTACAGCTACAGTTGTCCACCTGTTAGTCAAAACCTCTAACTTTTAAGCCAAATATATAAGATGTATAGTTATTATTAATGGGGAAAATTAGTTATAGAGCCTGGTACCATTGTAACAGGCATTAAATAGTTTTAATGCTGTAAAGTTGGGTATTTTAACATAGGAGTCTGAGGGGACTGGCTTTGTTTTGGAGCCAGCCTCAAGCTTCAATTTAAGCCTTGGAGGTTAGCACTCAATAATGATAATTGTAGCTGCTCTCATTGATGGGTTACACTAACTCTGCATTCAGAAAAATGTATCAACAGTGTAAGTCCATTAAGGTTAAAGGTAAAGATTCAGTCCCATCAATTAGCGTTTGTATATCACTTCAGAGGAACTCTACTTGCAGGGCAAATAGGGTGCAAAGAGGAAAAAAATATCTTAATGCTGATCATTAAAACAAATTAGTTTGAAAAAACTGGGTAAAATAGCTAAAAGATTGTGAAACCTTTTTTTATTAGCATAATGAGATTTGATCAGACATCAAGAAAGTATTTGAAGTCTTTGTCTGTTGGATGAATTTTATTAAATCTTTAGAGAGCTTGTAATTCTTTTCCCAACATGAATTTTTTTCCTTGTTTGGCATTTTGTATTGGGGATATGATGAGAGCAACCTTAGTGAGACCCATAGTCAGAGCAGCCACTTTCACCGGATGAATCAAATAATTACAGTTGATTCGAGGTCCTGATCTGTGTTTGCTAACAAAGAAAGCATCCCTCTGTGTGTAGAAAAGCTGTTTATGGTCACACCATAGAACAAGGCCACTGGCCTTGATCATGTGGCGGCAGAAGCCCTCAAAGCTGGAGGAGAAGTCCTCGTCATACGTTTACACTCGTTATTCAAACTGATCTGGACATCAAATGTGATACCAGCAAATTGGAAGAAGGCAGTTGTCATTCCTATCCTAAAGAAAGGCGACAACCGAGAATGTAAAAACTACCGGGGCATCAGCTTACTGTCCATCGTCGGCAAGGTCTTTATGAGAATAATTCAATCACGCCTTCAAAAGCACCGTGAGATGACCAGCCGGGAAGAACAGGTCAGGTTCCGACCCGGACGAGGCTGCAGCGACCAGATCTTCACCCTACGTCGACTCATTAAGGAACGGATCAGATGCGGACGCCGGACAGCCATCATCTTTATTGATTTCAAGTCTGCGTTTGATTGCATCGACCGGCCGGCCTTGTGGAGGGCTTTGACAGCCGAACACATACCCGTAAAGATCATCGAGCTACTACAAACCACCTACAATGGCTCGACCAGCCAGGTAGGTATTCATGACGAAGTGTCCGAAGAATTCCCCATCAGGACAGTGGTCCAGCAGGGCGATGTGGTGTCACCGCTGTTGTTCAACATCGTCATCGATGTGATAATGCGCAAAGCATTCGAGGGTCTGCCACGGAGTCCAAGCCTTGACTGATCGATTTATCACCGATCTAATGTTCGCTGATGATAGTGCTATTTTTGCCGAAGACTTCGGCCGAGGCAACTCACATCCTCTAAGACATCGCACGGCACTCCAAACCGTACGGCCACAAGGTTAACGCCGAGAAGTCCTGACCACCGACGGCTCACCAGCGATCGTCCACCTCGATGGTGTGCAGATCAAACAAGTCCAACAATTTAAATATCTGGGGTCCCTCGTTGAGGAGAAGAAAGTGGCATCATCAGTGGAGATAAGCTCCAGAATTGGGCAGGCGGCGGCAGCATTTGCTTCCCTGCGCTGGTGCGTCTGGAAGAAGAACAACATCTCATTGGCGACAAAGATCCGCCTTTACCGAACCCTGATCCTGCCCATTCTACTTTACGGTGCGGAGACATGGACAATGCTCAAACACGACCTGAGCAAGCTCGAAGTTTTCCAAATGCGTTGCCTTAGATGCGTTCTCAGCGTTTCCCATTGCGACTGTCATTCGAATGACACCATCCTCACCAGCTGCGGCAGCCAACTGACGATCGGCGACCTAATCCAGCGCCGCCGACTCCGTTGGTTTGGCCACATTTGTCAAATGGACCCGAGCCGCTACCCCCATGGCCTACTCTGGTTGACCCGCCCCACCGATTGGAGGGTGCATCGAAATACACCAAAGAAGACATGGATGAAACAAATCCAGGATGATTTGAAGGCCCTTCGACTTGACCTCGAGCAGGCAAGAACCATCGCCTTAGATCGAAAAACGTGGAAGATAATCGTTGGTCAAGCAAGAGAACCTGCGGCACCTACAGCAGCGTACTGGTTGCGCGGCAGACCACCGCCGCTGGTCGCCCGCTAAGGACCAGAAGAAGACACCATAGACCATAGTATTATTGCTTTTCTATTTTTAAAGTTTAAATCTTTATCCCTTGAGAGCATAGTAGGCATAAACCTTGTTTCTCTTTTCTGCCCTGCTCGTAGAACAGAATTACTGGGTCTGCATCACAAGTTAGTGAGGGTGGTCTCTGCTTACTCTAGCAGCTGCTCTTGGAAAACCTGAAAACTATTCTAATGCTTGTCAAACCTCATCTTTATTTATGTCGGAACTCTTCATGTTTGGTACAGGCGATGTCATCAACTGTTATCTCGAAGGAAATTCTTGCATGTAAAACAAAAAATTAGTTTGTGAGTACTTTGTGATGCCACAGTATTAATGATTTAGATTAGCATCCTATAATTCTCTCTCTCTCTTTCTCTCTCTCTCTGTGTGTGTGTTTTGTTTTGTTGTTTTGTATGTCAGGCAAAGTGTGAGAAGACAGATGGTGGAGGTCACACCTGTACCTGTCCTGACGGCTACGCTGGAGACGGAAACATTTGCTACGGATCATTACTTGACGTAAATACTTAGCTCATTATGATCCATTGTGGTTATATAAGTTGAACTCATTCACTTTCATGGTGAGCCAAATCAGTTTCACTATGTTAAGTGAAAATAAAATGAAAGACAGTCAAAGTGTGGAACTAATATCTTTTTCATAATCTGGATTGAAGGGCGTTTATTTTTATTTACTGCAGGTGCTTTAATTTCATTTCAACCATACAACATTTTTCAGGATACACTCAGTTTTTATGCTTTGCACAAAAATGAAGTTAGAAAAAAAAAAATCAACATACATGTGGCCAATATGTAGCCGGTCCTCAGGCTGCAAAAAAAAGGAAAAAAATGTAAATTATTTTTTTAGTTTATTTATTGCAGAAAAAAATAATTTAACATGAGCACTCAGAGAACACGAGCAAGGATATAATAAAACTGTTTTATGATGTTTCTATTATAACAGGCTGGCATTAACCTGCTTATAAAACATGTCTGACTTTTGACCTTTGAAACCTTACATACTAAAATGTTGTATTTTATGATTTTTACTCATATGATTGTAGCACAATTGGCTGAGATCTTTAGCCTCTATAAAAAAAAAGATTTTAAGATGCATTCATGAGTTTTGCAAACGTTTATTGCATTATTGTGACATCATAGGGCATCTAATTGAAAAAACTTGTGTTGGATCGCCCTCTCCATGCTCTTTCATATGATATATGTTTTATATAAGTTTATATAGACTTGTATGACTTATATAAGTCATATAAGTCAAATGTCTGGGCATGGGTTGTTCCTGAGAAACCTAATTAACTAGGCTGCACATTTAATGTTATTTTTAGTTCTTTTTTTTAATTAAGATGCCAGATTGCAGTTATTTTTTTTCATTTCTGAACAGAAAAAAATGTTTTACTGGTTGAACGTTATGCTTGATACATTTCTGACTCCTTAGAGAAGTCCAGTGCGTATATTTGGCTTCAGTTTGTTATTTGTCTCATAAATATCAATCTGGTTCTTACTTTTTAAAATGTTTTTAAACAAAATTTCTAAAATATTTCTGTTATTGTTTGTATTACTTCAGACTTGATTCATTAACTGTAATTCATTACACAGTTATGTTTCTGTGGGTGTGTTTGCAGGAGCTGGAGATGAATGTAAAGATGTACAGCTTCTACCGGCTGACTCAGGTAAGTAAGAGGAAGACAAACTACTCTATAGTTATTGAACTTCGTCAGTTTTCTGGGTTCAAAGTTAAACTACATTAAAGCCTTGATAGCTGGCGAGTTTCCTAATTTAGTGACTGATGTTGAAAATAGGTAGAAATCTGGGATTTTCACCCCTTCTACAGCTGTTCTCCTGCAGCTCCCTCCTTTCTGTTTTGAGCCTCTCAGAAGACTGGTGTAGAGACTGACACATAAGCTAAAGACATATACTGCTGTGCATTTTGGCCTGTTAAAAGAATCAGTGTCAACTTAGACGCACACTGATTTTATAAAATATTCTACATTTCCACCTGCTGTAAAAATATGTTTTTGACAGGAAAGGGAAGCCTTTACAGAAATTGCTGTTTTGTCATATGTGTGATGGTTTTCTCATCTATTGTTGTACATGGCACTGTAGTGGCAAAGGTGTTGTTAAAAGTTAAAAATATGAATAAATTTACCAGCCAATGGAGTCAAAGCAGCCAAAACAATTAGACACCTACCCAGAATGAGTGTTACCTTTGACACAGGTGAAGCTTCTGTAGGTCCACCTGCTCATTGTTTTCATAAACTACTCTGCTCCAATGATAACTAAGCTGTATACGGTGTCATGTGATCAGCGTTCCAGTCATGCCTTTGAGGACCTGAACGGGAACTTAACTGTGTTGGTGCCAACTCGAGACGCTCTCAGGAACATGAGTACAGCTGACAACTTATTCTGGAACAGCCGACACCACCTGCCTTACTTCCTGCGGTTAGTAAAGTCACACACACATTAAAACTGATCCTTGAGCTCAGACAAAGCATGCCAGTGCATGAAGTTTGTGTGACAGAATCAGTGTTTCTAAGACAAAATAAAAATGGAGCCAGATTAGCACAAAGTCTAACTAATAAATTTAGTTTACTTTTCTGTTTGTAGACTTTTTAAAATATTGATTTTATATTGAATTTTAATCTTCTTTGTTCTTTTGTTTGGTTGTTATGTTTTATTTTTTCTGTATTATATAGTAATATGCTTGTCTTTAAACTCTGTTATGTTTTAGTGCAATATAAAAATTAAAGTGATTTTTAAACCAGCTCACAGGAGTCTGCGGGGGTATTATGATAAGTTACAGAGAATCTCTGTGTATGGAAATGAGTATTTCCAGAGTTTTCTCCAGGCCATTGTAAATTTGATGAGACAGCTATAGACAGTGACTCATTTATCTAACACCGCAATCTAGTTTAAGGTCTGTATGATCGTTTTCTTAATGAATCACAGAGATAGAATGATTTAAAGGGATACAGTATAATTCGCTTGAGATTTGGCAGATATGGGCAGCATGTGGCCAGAGGAAATCTTACTTTGCTTTAAAGGCGTCTCCTCTCCACATTAGCCTGCAGAATAAGAAGCCTGAGCTGTATTCTGCTTGTGCCCACATTTACATATTACCTGAATGGCTGACTTTCACGCCTTAGGCATGTGCGATGTGCTTTTACCTTACCTTATCTTTTCACACTGCTTACAGCTGTTTGAGTTTATTAAATACTTGAATCATTATATGATCCATAGGTGTGTCTCCAAAGACAGAGATCCATTTATGCATAAGACACAGCAGCAGTGACTGATAATTATTTAGTTATACCCAACACATACAGATAATCAGTCAGTAGCCAATAGTATTTCACAACAGGTGAGGCAGGTGAGCTGCCACAGAGAAGCACAGTTTAATTTTAAATCTCTTGTTCTACAGATCGGTATGTAAAGTATTTGGGTATTGTATCAGTATAGTTTTCATGGATATTTGCTATCGCTACGATCTCTGATCTTTGTATTTAAATGTATAGCATAATATTTATTAATTATATGAACCCCCAGCCCATCGCCCCCTTCACCATTGTCCAACTGATATTCAAAGGTCAGTCGCCCAGATTAAGTGGTGCTGCATTTCACCTATAGCAGACCTAACTAAATGCAATCCACCATAACCCAGACAAAATTCTGGCTCCCACAGATTGGCTCTATGCCCATGTGGCAAAAATATTACAATCAATCAATTTCAGAGATTCCTGATTTTAACTCCTTATCTGCCAAAGGAAGAAAATATTGTAGACCTGCACAAGGCTGGAATGGACTACAAGGCCATCAGCAAGACGCTTGGTGTGAAGACAACAACTGAAAAATTATTCAGATATGACAGAAAATAGAAGAAAAATAGAAATGTGATTAGGAATCACCCTCAGTCTGGAGCTCCATGTAATATCTTGCCTAATGGGGTGAAGATGATCTTGAGAAATAAGGTGGGAGGGGCTTGTTAATGATCTGAAGGCAGTAGCAACCACAGACACCAAGAACAGCAATGGTTACTCACTGTGCCATAACTGAGATCTTGCAGCACCCACAAGGTCACCCTGCTCAAAAAGGCACACGTGCACGTCAGTCTTAAGTTTGTCAATGAACCTTTAAATGATTCAGAGAAGGTTTGAGACAAAGAGCTGTGGTCAGATTAAACCAAAATCAAATCAACCCGCTGTGTTTGGAGGAAGAGAAATACTGAGGGTCACTCAAAGAATACGTGGTAACATCATGCTTTGGGGCTGTTTTTCTGGTCAGGAGGGAGCTGAAGCTTTGAGTTGCCAAGCAGCACCCAAGTAACCTAAAGGATTTAGAACGTTTCTGTAATGAGGGGTGGGCCAAAATCCTTCCTGAGATCTGTGCAAACCTGGTGACCAACTACAAGTTACCATTTGGCTTGCCAACAAAGGTTTCTCCGCCAAGTACTAAGTCATATTTTGCTTGGTGATGAATTACTTATTCCATTCAGTGACATGCGAGTTTCATGTACTCTGTTTTTTTTATTCTTCTATATTTCTGGATTCTTTCTCTGTCTCAATTAAAATGAAACTACCAGGTCTTCTGTAATTGAGCAAACTTACAAATTCAGCAGGAATTCAAATAAGCATTTCCCTCACTGATAGTTGTGTCAGTAAAGATGTTGGTGGTGCATCTGAAAGACTGTAAAAATTTAACATTTCTGTACTGTTTAAATTAGGAACTGCTGATCTCATGGATCACATGTCCTTTGCTGACAGGATCCTGGAGCGTGTTGTGTGTTTTAGAAAACTTGTTTTTATTTATTTA